ATATATATATATATATATATATATATATATATATGCATGCATAGGTTAACTATACGAGTAAATTATTATTTTAGAGGAAGTCCTGAAGTCTTCCTCTAATAGGAAATACAGTACAATGTGGCATAAAAACTTTTGACTTTGTTACGCCTGCATTTGGTTTTTCCTCAGCTCTTGACACTAGTGGCTTATCATTGTCTTTCTGTCGAAGATGGGCAGTTCTTTAGTAGCTCAGACCAAAGATAAAAATTATTTTATTTATGAGTCCTCGGCAATTTGCTGCTGTGGGCAACCTCATGTTTTTTCTTGACACTACTGGCTCATCAGTGTCTTTCTGGCGGAACTGAGCAGTTCTCTAGTAGCTCAGGCCAAAGATAAAAATTATTCTATTTATCCTCAGCAAATTGCTGCTGTGGGCAACCTTGTTTTTTCCCCCCTCAGCCTGGCCTATTGTTATGATTTATTAGTTATCTTTGTTGTTGTTGGAGCTTCTGCTGGTCTGCAAAGTCCAACAGATGCAGGAAGCCGAAGATCAGCTGTCACAGTCACAACTTAATTTTTGTCCTCGTTAGCTGGCAAGAAGTTCTTGTAAATGAAACCGCAGTGACAGCCTGGAGGTATGACTGGAGGGCTCAAAAGGAGGAAGTGGGTTCCTGCATCAAGGCTGTGTTGCAAGAGTGTCACAGTGAGCTTTAGGGCTGGTCTCAGAGCACTTGTGAGCTGACACTGGAATGCTGAGTTGATAATTCACAGAAAAAAAAATGTCTTTAAGTTACTTAAAACTGGTCTTTGTGGTCATTTATGGCCTCATAAAAGTTCAACAGTCTGCTTAGAATATGACCAAAGATTGAGTTGGACATTACAAGTACATAGTCATTTGCTGACATCTCATTATATAGTGTTGAGCCTTCAGTAGTCGCCAAAACTGTCTCTTCAGTTAATTAGTTCATTATTTAGTTAATAAAATTTTTTAATTTTTATTATATATGTATTCCTTTAAGAACAAAGCAACACACACCAAACTGATCATGCACACTACTGTTTACTGCCCAAACTTTACAGATCAGTTGGAACACAAAGGCTCATTTTCACATTAGCATGTAATTGGTTTTCTTTTGGAGAACGCCTCTGCTCATAGTTTACATTCCATCATACCCCTCTTGGTGTACCAGGAGTCAATGGTTTTTATTGAGTGAATGTGGTTCCAACATGTCATCAGGCTTCATGTTCACATCAGGCACCTCCCCTGACTGAGAAGAGAACAGACAAGAACGTGTAGCTGTTTGTACTTTTGGGTGAGTCACTCACCAGTGAAATCCAGCAAAGAGAGGAAGTCATACCTGTCATCCCTCCCGTTTTTCCCGGGATTCTCCCGTATTTTACCATTCTATCCCGCTATCATCCCGTTTAAATATTTTCCCGTATTTCTCCCGTATTTTTAATCTTTCTATAAAAAAAAAATCCCATTGAGAATATTTTATGTTTGCTACATTTGCTTCCGGTAAAACTCCTGTAATTTGTATGGGCCAAACCTCATTAAATGAATAATCATGTCAACAAATTCCAAGGTTGCCTAGTTGCCAGATCTTGTATGAAACGCATCTTTCTCACACGATCGACGCATACAAATTTCAACTCATTTGTCCCCTCAACTTGGCAACCTACAGTCCAGTGATGCTATTGATATCTGCGCAGGGAGTACCGCGGGAAGGAAACAAGGATCACTGGTAGAAATGGGAGGAGAAGACTCAGGTGGTGCTCCAGTGAAAAAAAAACTAAATATACATGTAAATGTATATTTACATGTATAATGAGATATAGCTTACACTTCAAAAGGCTATGGTTTAATTGCGCAGAAAACACACAGTTGTAAATATGAACTGGTGGATCAACAAGAAGATAATGAATTATAAAACCCTAAAGATATAGCCTACACTAAGATATATTTATGTTACTAAATGAATATAATTGTTTGATAATAATTGTTTAAATTAATATAAAAATAATATAATGTAAAAATTGTTACTTTTGACTCGTCTGCTTCCCGTATTTTGGTACCCAAATGTTGACAGGTATGGAGGAAGTGGAGAAATCATTCATCAGCGGATGGCTGCCATTGTATTCTTTCACACTTAGAAAGCTGTTGCAGGGGTATACGTTCAACTTAATCCTTTGTCGGTGCTTTAGAGCAGTTGTAAAGGCCTATACTGTATGTCTCAGAAGGTAATGGCAACTATATTGGGCCATCTCATGACTAAAATGCATGTGGTTCACTTGCGAAGAAAACCACCTCCATCTGAGTGAGTGCTCAATCGTAAGGACAGTCCCATCAAATGCAAGTTTTCCCCAATTAGTCACTCCCCTGTTACTCACCCCACTTCAAACAGGAAGGGGGAGTGGTTATTTAAAGGATCCTGTCTTCTTGTTGACTGAAGCCAAATGACTTAGCATCTTATGTTTACATTTGTCACTGTAGTTAGGTCAAAGCAAGTTCATGTTATGCATCAAGAGTGCCCCCCAAAAGACGAAATAGTGTCATCAGCAGTGTTGGGACAGTCACATTCATGGTCATTATTGAGCCTTGTTTATTCCATTGAGGTTACAGCTCAATCTAATTACAAGCCTTTTATATATATAATAAGGCTTCAAATTAATGTTTTTATACATGTGTTTGTGGTTGCAAATTGGCTAATGACAGGTCCAACATTTAACTATGTATACTCGGACCACTTCTGATTTGACAGATTGCTATAAAACATACTCACAATTACACTTCGCTAGGAGGAAAGTGCCTTATGCTGGACTGTCTCTGTGAAGTGATCTGAGTGACCCATTTTTCAACTCAAGTGTTCCTGCATTCAGCCTCATAGCTTTTAGGATTTCAGCTGTATCTTTGCATAGCCAAGGCCAAACCATGTCCTGGAGGTCGCAGAGCTTAACTGATGCTAGATTTTGTACAATCAGAACTGGCTTAAATGTATAACGTAAACATTCGGATAAATAATAGCAGAGTTTGAACACATTTAGTACCTTATCTCCAGTAAATCATTTTTTAGAACTTTTATCTGAATGGTTAATAAAGAATATTAGCCCCAGCACCCTGTGTCTTCACATGATGATATTTAGATCTTGTCAGTCAAAACATATAGTCACATGAAGCCACTTGAGAGGATGCAATTTGTCACTCCAGTTAAATGAATATTAAGATCTGAATACCTCAAGTACTGCTAACTGATTCAGACACACAAATTATTTAGGTTGATGATTTTGCTTCTTTTACAGGAATGGGAGCTGGTTGTCCTGGGCAAATTGAAGTGGAATCTGGCTGCTGTCACTCCCAATGACTTTATTGAGCACATTATGAGGAAACTTCCGCTGCCTGAGGATAAGCTGGACCTGATCCGTAAACATGTGCAGACTTTCATCGCCCTTTGTGCAACAGGTGGTGTATCCAATGTAGATGATTGATGTTTATAAATATATAAATGACCGCTTTTTTGTGTAGTGCGACACAGAACCTAATGAATATTCTCTAAACATGCCTTTGTTATACTTAACTTAGTAAAGTAGCCAGTGTTTTTCACAATCTAGAAATTAGGTTTATAATAAGCTACTGTTTTCATGATTAGTCCGTAAAATGAAAGAAAAAAAAGAAAGATAGTGTTGTGTATTTGTCTTCCATTCATGTTTTTAAGTATGAGTGATAAAAGATCCACTGCCTAGTTAAGTTGGTGTTGATGTCTTGGAGCATCATTTCAATAAGTGATGTGTTGCAAAGCATCCACATTTTTTCCTTGCAAAACTGAAATCAAAGCCGACTTCTGTGGGTTTAGTACCTATGGCAACTTTATTCAGGTTGCTGTTGCAGGCAAATTATCAGATGCCATCTCATTACATTCATGAGAAACTATGTGGACTGAAATAGCGATGTGTAATGGAGAGAATTTCTCTGGAAGCCTTATGTGCTTGCCTGGTACGTTTGGCGGGCATATCAGTGACTAGTCCTGAATGCAGTGACACTTCAAAGGGCAGTTGTATAGTTAAGGACATTCCTGTGTGCTGGTGAGCCAGTGGTTATAACATTCCTGCTCTTAGAGGTGGACCACCTTTAGGAGATCAAACATGGAGATGAGAGGAGGGTGAGAAAACGTGAGGAGTGTATTGTTCTAGCTGAGCCAAATAGTGAAGCATGTCATGTTTTCATATCTTATCCCCTCTTCTCACGCCTCCCAGATGCTCCAGGGCATGACGACTTTCCCATAATCAGGAGCCTTTGTGGGGCTGGTTCTCCCAGCCAAGCCTGCACTCAACATCACCATAGGCGGTAATGGGATCCAGTGCACCACCCTTGTTCCCTCAGGCTTTTCTCTTCCTCCCTGGGGTTGCTCAGCTCCCCAGGAACCTCAGGAGTGACTCTGACTTTGGGAAAGTGGGATATGAGGGGAGAGGGATTAGTAGGAGGAGCTGGCAGGTCTTTAAACATGGAGCTTTTTATTCTCCTGTTGGTTTGTGCAATAGATATAGATTTCTTGTGAAACTGCTCTGGCATAAACAGAATCCATGAAAACTGGTTTGAATCATTGGTTAAGAATCTCTTGTGCTTGACAGGTTAAGCATTGATGATAACTGGAATAATAGAAATAATTTAGCTGTATAACTTGGTTTTTAGATGCTGAAAAATTCAGAAGCTAGTGAAGCATACCTCTGTTGTTATATACACAAACTAGTTACTAGTTTAACAACAGGGATTCAAGGGGCATCCAAAAGATTTTAATTGCTGGGCAGATGCCTTGACTGATGTTTTGCTTTCCTCTGTACAGTTTGCTTTTTTTGCAGAGAATTCAGCGTCTTCTTCATTTCTGAGACATGCATAAATCAAGGCCCCTGTATCTGAATGAGAAAGGAAGAGAAGAGTGTGGAAAGACGACAGCTAATTTTTAATGGTTCTTCGCTTTTGATAAAACAGTTCTGTTCAGAGCACTCGGCAAGATTTGGTTAGACAAGAGTGGAGCAGTTGAGTATTTATTAATAACATGGAGGGGCCTTTAAGAGATATGCAAATGACTGGAAGGCTCGGCTAGAGACCACAAGAAAGGAGACAAAAGGAACAACCCTCCATTTCATATGCAGAGGCATGTAAGGGTCAATGCAGAAAGAGCACCCGATAAAACATTTCTCCAGAGGGCAGTCTGCCAAAGGCCTGCACAGGAACAAGCTCATTAAAAGCAATTATACCCCATTCTTACTATTAAACACCCAGCACCCCCTACTTCTCCGTCGTAGATTGTCTGTAGATGTATATGAACATTGAGAAACACTATGATATTAGATAATCTTGCCACTCTTCAGATGTTTACTTATCAGAGAAATCCCTTAGGAAAAATAGATAACTAGAGACCGGTGGAGAGTTCAGCAGGGCTGAAAATTAAATCTACCAATTCATGTCATTTCTCATTCAAGAGGCTGTTTCCTCCCACACCGGCCTGACTGCTGTTGCTCAAGACTCTGCACTGGAGCAAGACTGAAACAAGTTGTTACAGGATTTTAACAGTCAAAGAGGGTTCCTGTTTTTAATTAATCTGTTTCACTATGGTTTGACAGGGCAGACCAACACACCGCTTTTGATGATACCATTTTTAAAAAATGACAATAGATGTTTAATGTAATACAATTCTATGGAGTAATGTTATACATAAATGTCCCAGACATCCAATTATTTAAAGTCTCAAAATTAGACACGATATAACTAGTTATTAAAAATCCTTTTAAATTCTATGTTGTAGGTTTAACAAATAGTATAAAAATAGCTAATTAGCATTTATTTGAACATTTGTGTTACAGGTTTACTCTGTTATTCTGTTAATTCTGTGACTTTAGGATCTTAATTTACATGCTTTACCTGACTTTCCATTTGACTGAGTGTTAAACTGTGATGCCAAATTCATGTTTACGTTTGATTTTTGTCAGTCAGGTCGAACATGGCTGCTTGAAACAAGACTTTCTGTTAATGCAAACCTGTGAATCTGCATGGAAGTCTGGCACTTGATTTATTGCACCTCAAATCATCTGCCTCTTTGGCTGTTCCTCAACTTTCCAGACACTTAATTAATTTACAAGTTAAATGCATATACAGCACATTGCACCCACCAAGGAGCTTGCTGTGTTGGCACAGGTCTGGGGATGCAGTGTGGCGAGGGCAGGAGAATGGTCCATTGAAGGGGGTGAGAGGCTGGTATACCAGGCCAGCCAGCCGCCGCTTACTAGGAGCCTTCCATCACAGGCGTCCCCACTCAGCTACATACACTGTTTATCCTCTGCATGAATATCAATGAAGGCGCGTAGAATACAGCCATTCTTGCCATACCACTCTCACAAACCAGAGCGTCCAGCTCTGCCGCTAGCATGCGCATACTCTTGTTCCCTCGACAAACTTGTCTTGTCTAGAGTGTGAAAAATCAGATTGCAACCCACTCAGCGCACACAAGCTGTATGTGGGCACCCAATTTCCACTGTATGTTTTTTTTTCTCCCTGCTGCAAAAGACCCAAAGAGTTGCAATGCAGTTTGTTTTGTCTTCTTCTGCTTGACCAGAACTATTAATACATTTTTCTCTGGCCCGGAATCAACTGCAAAGGGAAGAGTGTATAATAAGTTAATTTATTTGTCAACACTGAGCTGCACTGAGCTTGAATGTTAAGAAGGCAATGAAGGCATGCTCGTCAGTTATCAAAGGCCCCACGGCTTTGATTTTTTTGTTCTAAAAAGAAAAGAGAAGAAAAATCACCCTTAGAGCCATCACACACAGTTTGCTTTGCAACTGAATATGGCAAAATGGTAATGCAAAGACTGCCAGGGATTGTGGGACCATGAGCCCAGAGGTGGCCCTGCATCAGAGGAATGGCATGGGGGGGAATGAGGTGGGTAGCAGGGTCTTTTCTGCTGCCAAAACCTTACGAAGGTCTGGACACTGACTAAAGAATGATGCTTAGTGCCCCCCCTCAGCTACCCCTGCTGTCTAAAACCCTACAACACCCTCCCCCAACACCCATCTTTTGTGCTGGCTATAGGGTTGAATAGGAATCCACAGAGAGGGCTTGATGTTGCATCTCTCAATTGGATGAAATGAGGTGATGATTTCAGACAATGGGGCCACACTCTCTTGCTCACTAAACCCAGGTCCATCAGTGGCCACACTCAATTAATATGCTAAAAGATAGATTTGATGATACAAAGCCAGAGCTGTTGTAACAACAAAGCTAGAGCATGTGTGCCATTCAACCTTAGGGGTATGTGTCTGAAAAAAAGTGTTGAAAAACAGTCTGAAAAAGCAAGAGGGGGAGCCGCAGAAAAAGAAAAAAGACAGAAATCAATGAGGCAGGGGGCAGACAGCCTAAGCTGTTCGTTTCTTTCTCTTTTCCTCTTTCTTTCTCCCCCTCTTGCAGTCAGTCGTCTTTTTTGGGCTTCAGGCCTGTTCACAAGCTGTCTTATTTGCATTATGAATGACAGTGAGAAAGCTAACAAGGTTATTGGTCTTTGAGATGTACGCCTGTGACCACACGTGGAAAAAGGACCTACAGCAGTGAGCACTGGCAGGGGGACTGTGGCTCTTTATTCCATCCTTTCCGAAGGCTATAGGGCTTTTTTTCTGGGAGCACACGATTTACTTAGGAGCTGGAAGAAAAGGGGCCGATCTGCAAAGGGTGACTGGAGGAGAGGGGTGGGGGTGGGGGTGCTTTTCAGATTCTTTTCAAGCCAAGTGAACGCTCATTATCCTGGGCTGCAGTCATTAGCAAAGGACTGTGCACAGACCTAATGGAAAGGGCTTTATTTATTAGTATTTCTGATTTTTTATTTTTGTATCCATTTCATAATATTTGATATAACTATTCAAAATACTGTAGAAAAGTCTGATAAAGTACTTTTTTTTTTTTTTTAACTCCGAGCGAGACAGATCTTAATGCCTGGTTTGCTCTTTCCTCAGATTTCACTTTCGCCATGTACCCTCCATCCATGATTGCAACGGGCAGCGTGGCAGCGGCTATCTGTGGCCTGCAGCTTAACAGCACTAACCGCTCACTGTGGGGAGACAACCTAACAGAATTACTCGCCAAGATCACAAACACAGAAGTTGTGAGTATTGGTGTTTTGACAATAAATTTTACTAATGAAACTTTTAATAAATCATTATGATACAAGGTATTTCCCTGCAGTCATATATGCTACATACAGTAGGTCACCTCACAGTGTGTATATATTTGAAATTGGGAGCGCTCTGTAATTTAAAACAGAGACCCTGATGAAAGGATGGGACAGTAACACTATTGGTAATCTGTGTAATCAAGTGTTGCTGTGCCTGTAGGACTGTGAGAGCAGGCTGTGCATTTCCTTTATTTACTCAATGGGCTTGAGTCCAGCTCCAATTCAATTTCGCATTCAGCCACTGAATTACTGGAAGTGAAATGGGATTGACCCTGACTGAGAGACTGCAAGGAAAGAATCTGCAGGGCTAGGAGAATATGTCAGGGATACTATGGCTTTATGCATATGACTTGCATACAAATTCATACCTACTGTCACACAAGGGACCACCTCATGATCATTTACTTTTGTTTAGGTCCTTTAGTTTCTCTTTAGTGGGAAAAATAAAAGCAAAAGAGAATAGAATAGAAAATTAGGATTAAGGAAACATTTAATTCCTGCCCTGACCTGAAGAGGTCAACCCTCCCCAAGAGACCCTAGAGTGCACTGCTACTGGTAGAATGCCTGCTGCCCCAGCATGTGGTGTGTGAAGTCGTGCACCATAGCAAAGGAAAAACAAATAGTCCTCCACAGAAGTAAAGGTGCTCAGTGTCTGAGGAGTGTGAGGTCCAGGGCAGAAGGAATGAACTGCCTGGTCCATGAACAACTCATCACATTGCTGGATTCCAACAAGCCATACCTTTTGAAAACATGCAGGTATGATGTATACGCGCTACCCTGCTCACCCTGAGCTATACCTTAAAGAAAACATAAAGGGATAGTTCACACAGCATGAACATTTTGTCATCCTTTACTCGCCCTTATGTTGATTCAAACTTGTATGACTTTCTTTCTACTGTGGAACATAAAAGAAGAAATTTTGAGAAAAGTGTTAATGTTTTTCGTCCATACCATGGAAGTCAGTGGTAATCAAAATTGCTTGGTTACCATCATTCTTTAAAATATCTTCTATTGTGCTCCACAAAAGAAAGTCAGGTAGGTTTGAAATGACATGAAGGTAAGTAAATTATTATGATTATGATGCAAACATACCGCAGTTCCAAAACAAAAAATTCAGTGTGAATAATTAAATGGGAGCAGGGGGCTGTGGTGCAATCGAACATGGTTCAAACCAAGGAATTGAATAAAAGAAGTGTAAAAGCACCCTTAGATTAAATTGGTCACTGAATTTGTTTGGGACAAATAATTCACTTTACCAATCAGAATTGTGTTTGCATTATTGTGCTGAGAAAATCTTAGAGGTCCTATCTAAATGTAATTGGTTGACCATTTGGTAAATCAGAGAGATATCTATATCAGGAGTAAATTAGAAAAACCTAGTCTTCAATAAACAAGATGTCTACTTGTCTACTTAACTTTACCTTAGTGTATGAGGACCTTACAGATTGAGGCAGAGGTTGGGAGGTGAGCGGTCAGACAGTATGAAGGAAAGTCAATCTAATGCCAAACGATACTGCCAGCCTACCCACCAGGAACCTTGCTGACATTTGTGGTGTCCAATGCCTGTAGTTTCCAGTAGACATATGATAGGGGCAGCCAGCATCTTCCAGTCGCCCTTGTAGCCTAAGACACACCTGGTGAAGCATACTCTGTGTAGCAGTAAGGTACACACATGCATGCCAAACCAGGAAGGCTGAAACATTGGCTTGAAGTTTCCACAAATACTCTAAGGTCCCTCTAAGAAAGAAGCAAAAGGCAATAAATATTCACCTGGCACTGGGTTTTTACAGTAAAGTTTGTTACTGTAGCTACAGTAAATACAGTAAATGATGCTCATTGGGCTGTTGTTTTCAGTTTTTTTTTTTAAATGAGGCCTTGAATGATTTGTTTATTTTGAGGCATGAATTTGTGTGCTTGTGCACCTCTAGAATATTTATAATATAGCTTTACAAGGTAAAGCTCTACATATGGAGAAACTATTCAGGAAGAGAGAATGCACAGTGAAAACTCTTTGAGATACCGCAGTTTCTAAAAGTAGGTGAAATGTTAGAAACTTTGGGTCTGGCATGCTGAGAATGCTCCTTTGCCTAAAGTCATAATGTCATGAGGACTCTGTTATTTGCAACCGAAATGTTATTTGGAACTGAAAGGTTGCAAATTATTTAGAGAAGAACTTCAAGGCTTTTTTGGTACACAGGATCATGTGTTAGGCCCCCTGGTCTCTTGCATTAGGCCTCTGGGACATCTTAATCCCTTTCATTTCTCAATGCTGTGATGGCCATGCTCTGAACCCGGCAATCCTTGCTTTCACTTCCCAATAAAAAACACACATTTTCTGTGGCTACTTTAAGTCTCTCTTTTAGGTTTCTTTTGTCCAAGACGGCACACACTGAGTGACATTACACTCTGCTGGTTCTCCAGTAGAGCTGCATTTTCCTTTTGGTTTTGATCCATTTTCATTAACTTGGTTGACTCTAACAAACGTAGCCATGTTCTGTGTGTTCAGTGTGTTCTTGATCAGGGAGGGGTTGGATAAGGCAGCGACCACCCACTCTATCTTGAAGCTCACTAGTGCCACCCTTCTCTGGATCTAATAATTAAGAAGCTCTTCTAGAGTCCTAAAAGTCCTGGTTTTACCAGTAGTCACACATTGAAGCTATTAAGAGTTGCCTGAATTAAGCCTTTGGGGCTTGGCATGAGCTTGGTTGTGCAGCTATAAAGAGCAGTACACAGGGAAATGTCTTTTAAGAAGTCAGGCCTGGCATTCTTGTGGTAAGACACAGGCAGTTCCTTTACATGTTTTATGCTTTAGTTAATTTTCTAGAAGGAATTAATTTTTCATGACTAATAATGGCGCATCGTGGTGGGAAACAGGAGACCTCTAGAAGGATGGTGCCCATTGTCATCCATGATAACACACCAAAGAAAACATCCTCTGGGTGACACTAGGCTCATCCTCAAAAAAAAAAAAAAAAGATTAAATGCTTTCTGTCAAAAAACAGATGTTTTTCTTGTGTGATACACTACTTCTACAGGCATGAAACACATGGCCCAGGAGCCATGCATAGCGTAAGTTTAGACTTTGGCCCATCAGCTTTTAATCAGCAGTAAATGTAAAAGGAATGCAGCCTCTCCACAAGCAACACATTCTTGACACTAGGCTCATCCTCAAAAAAAAAAAAAAAGATTAAATGCTTTCTGTCAAAAAACAGATGTTTTTCTTGTGTGATACACTACTTCTACAGGCATGAAACACATGGCCCAGGAGCCATGCATAGCGTAAGTTTAGACTTTGGCCCATCAGCTTTTAATCAGCAGTAAATGTAAAAGGAATGCAGCCTCTCCACAAGCAACACATTCTCCACAGGCCCTACCCATGGGCCATTCTCAAACTTCCCACAGACGCCTGGTGTGCCTCAGACATACCCACTAAACAGGAGGGAGAGCTTTGATCACCATGCATCCATTTACTTTCACTAGAGGGCATTATTGCTTATTTTGATGACAGTGTGAAAGCCATTTTAAATGTCATGTGCTCTTTGGAGCCACCCACAGGGTTGCATTGGGTATTTCTCATATTTTATCTAAAAAAAAAATACAGTTTTTTTTTTGTTCTTAGCTCTACAGAGCAGGAAGAACCCTCTGGTGGGCTCAAGTGAGATCCCCTTAGGTCATTAAATGCTATTGTGAAAATGAAAGGGTTTTAAAAATCGTAAACGAAAAACTGCCTTGTTTTATCCACAGGACATGGATGTAATTAACACAGCGAACTGTGGTACAGCTATTGTTTTTGTTTTTTAACTGTTCACAGTGCAACAGTGCATGTTTGTTTGTTTTTATTATTTTTTGGACTTTATTGGAAAGTGTGTGTGTGTGTGTATATGTATGTATATATATATACACATTACCGGTCAAAAGTTTGGGATCAGTAAGACTTGTAATGTTTTTTAAAGAAGTCTCTTATGCTCATCAAGGCTGCATTTATTTGATAAAAAATACAGAAAAAAAAACGTAATCTTGCAAAATGTTATTACAATATAATTCTATCTTCTATTTTAATATCCTTTAAAATATAATTTATTTCTGTGATGCAAAGCTGAATTTCCATCAGCCATTACTCCAGTATAAAGTGTCACATGATCCTTAAGAAATCATTCTAATATGCTGATTTATTAGTAGAATTATCAATGTTGGCAACAGTTGTGCTGCCAAATATTTTTTTGGAAACTGCTATACTTTTTTTCAGGAACAGCATTTATTCAAAATATAAATATTTTCTAACAATATAAATCTTTGCTATCACTTCTTAACAATTTAACACATCCTTGATCCTGAATAAAAGTTTTAATTTCTTTCAAAAAAATAAAAAATAAAAATGTACTGACCCCAAACTTTTGAACTGTAGTGTATATTGTTAGAAAAGATTTCTATTTTAAATAAATGCTCTTCGTTTTAACTTTTTATTCATCAAAGAATCCTGAAAAAAAATATCACAGGTTCC